ACCAGAAACAGCTGCCTTGGGGAGGGGTGAGGGTAAATAAACAAGAAATTAACTCCAATATTATTTGGACCAATAAACATTTGGGGGCCTGTTACACCTGTTTAACTTACCCTAACTACTACTAGCTGCAATGCAATGGGCCTTGTATTATGTTAACTTACACCTATTAGTTAAGTCGACATCTGGTTGCTGCCTTATATGCCTGCTGATGCTATGATCACTGCTAACTCTAGCCTTAAATGCCTGAGGCATTATGATTTGGCCAAGTTTGTATACCCTGGTCCTTGGGATGAAGTCACTCTTAAGGATGTGCCAGATGTGTCCAAACATGTGGCACTCAGACTGAGCCTGGGAATCTCCACTCACTTACAGCTCTATCCATTTCACCCCCAAGAGTCTGTCACAACCGCGGTTCTTGGAAAACTCTTCACTGTGAACCTTTCTATCAAGTTCAGACCCATTTTCCTCTTCTTTTCCAATGTACATCCCAGCACCTTTTGTTCTTATCCTTTGCAGCTGGCCCTCTACATCCTCAGGTTAATCAGTTTTATTCAGCTTACCAGCTGTGAGAGAAATGCGATTACTCATCTCTCCGTAAGTCTCTGATGAGAGACCACATCACTTATACCCAAATCGTTGTCTCTTTCTTTAAGCTATCGACTCTCCACCATTCATCCCCTTCATTACCCTAATGCTCATCGTCAATATCCATACATCACACTCTTCAGGATCCAGTTCCTCATTGGCTGCAGAAATGTGTGCATTACCTCTATTTGTGCACTATGATACTTGGGTAACACAACATGTAAGGAAATATATTTCTGGAAAAATCACATCATGGCTTTTGGACATGTTGTGGTAATTGATGACAAATTCGCATTTTTGAGCAGATGAAAGAGCATTGATGAACTGCAGGAGATGGTACATTATGCAGAGAAAGTATATTCTGCTCCATTTTCTAATGTATTTTCTTGAAAATTATCACTGTGGCGGAACAATCAATTTTCATGAGTAGGATCTTTATTCCTCATGATTCCATCTTCCGTGGGTCAGACCTGGAGATACTTCCTTCATTGATGCCTTTCCATTTCACCTAATTCATTTCAACCCCTAGTCCCCTGCCTTATTAATCTGCTTTTTAATGTCTCTTAATCATTTCTCTCTGTTCTGGCTCTGCTGTAGCAGTCTATTGATGTCTTATTGAGCATTGCAATCAACCATTCTTCTTTCTTTTACACAATTACAACTGTATCTTCTGTTGTCAGCTACCTTTCAGAGGCCCTTATTTATTGTTTTCTCTTCCCACTTTTTTAAGAAAATGGCTTAGATTAGATCCTCTAATTTGGAGGACATGGCTTAGTGTACAATTTCACTATGATTTAACAGATTTAACCTCTGTGGTGTGGAAAACTAAGAAAACCATTTGATTTTAACATGGGATTCAGAGGACAGAACAGAGAGCCCCTATTTTGACCAAGTGTATGCCTGTGTGTGTAGGGACACCCTCACAAGTACTCCCTCTCCCTTTGTGTGTACTTTTGTACACACAAAACCAGCCTCTTCTAGCTGTGCACCTTCGTGCACCTTCGACAGACACTGCACTAGCAACTGTAGTGTTGAGAGTGGTGCCCAGACCATAGCAGCAGCAGCATCTGAAAACTTTCACAAACAGAGACTCTCAGTCCCCACTCCAGACTCCCAGAATCGGAATCCGCCTTTAAAAAGATATGTGACATAAGCTGAAGTTATCTAATGCCTTGGCACCTCTATTTCTCTATCCACAAAAACGGGGATAATTATGATACCTTCATAGGATTGTTTGGGGGATAAAGGTAGTCCTACATGGTAAGCATGGGACTATCAAGCACAGAGTGAGCATTATTATTCCAATTTATATTTTTTATACATTTGCCTATATCCATCTGAATGAAATATGTGTATGTAAGTCATAAGCCCCATGTTTGTTTGTATAATATCCATAGAGAACCTCACCAAGCCCCCGAAAGAAGATATGAGAGATTCACATGCACATTAACACTTGAGAAACCTTGCTCTGCTGACTGCCTGCGCCTTGACTGTTGTGGCTGAGCCCTCATGGTTTCCTTAGCTAGATCAAAGTGAAGTAAGAGAGAAAGAAAAACAGGAGGGGTGGAGGGCATCCCACACAGAAAAGCATCCCAACATTTCTGAAATGCCTTCTACTAGAGGCCGGCCACACCCTGGGGATATTCTGTCCGTGTCTCCATTTCATCAGCATCACCCGGGAAGGTGGATCACCATCAGCTAATGCAGGCCGGGCAGGGTCAGTGAAGAGGGCAGGCTGAGGCTGGACAGTATAGTGTCACCTTGGGATCCCCGCCTCCACGGACTGTAACTGCAAGGTCACAGACCCTTCTCTAGGTACTGTGGAACACAACTATAAACATCCTCCCAGCCTGGGCTCGGGGTGGTTCTTCTGGATGTCAGTCACGCGAGGTTAGGAGCAGACTCAGGAGTGCTGAGTTCCTAACTCAGGCACTAAGTTCAGAGGACACGAGAAGAAAGAACAGTGACATCTGAGAACTCACATTGCATATATTTATGTATCGTATATGTATGTGAACTGTGAGGTACATATAATATGCATACAGCCAAGGCTGTCCTTAAGACAAATGGACCTATTTCCCAGTGTTATGAGTTTTTAGCTCATGTACATCTTTCAGGTTTGATGAAGGGAGTGAAAGCCCTTCCCCCCAAGACACATGAACACACAGACAGACAGACCCACACCTACATACAACTTAAAGGTATAAATGGATGCCCTAAAATTCATCCATGGAGCCCCAGGGACCAAGGACTCTATATGAAAAAAACTCCTCAATGATAACAATAACTCTTCTCCATTTTCTAGTTTCCTCCTAATATCAATATCATTATTATTTCATGTGTCTTAACTTTGGCATCAGTATTTTTAGGATGTAGTGACTCAGAATTACTTCATGCCATTCTCAAGATCTTGGCACTCACACGAGGAAAAATTACAACATTCTAATGGAAGAATAAGGCAAACATGCCATATCTTATGAGATTGGACTGAGTGTCCAATGACGAATGCCAAAGGGGAAGTTCACTTCCAGAACACAGAGCGCACAACACAGTCACTGGGGCCATTTGGGGCTGGCTCCGTTCCTAAGTTATTATAACAAAATGAGACTTGAACAACTGCCTAATATTCTCACATGTCCCCTAATATTATTAAGGATTGTGACTGAATTTTAAAAACGTCCTTGAATTCAATTTTACAGTTTATCATTCTGACATTGTTGACAACTTTTTAAGCATATAGTCTGTTGTCCCATTGAAAACAACAATAAACATTTTTCAGTAAACCTTTTGTAACATTATTTAGGCAAGGTGGATTTAACACTGTATTTTCTCATGTGATAATCTTTGTGTCATGTAACTCTGTGTCTGTACCTCCAGGTATAGAGTCTCACAGATTCTTTTCTCATGGAGGAAAGGTCAAAGATGAGTGTGATTTACAAGAAAGGCAACAAGGAGACTCTGAATTCTTGAAACAGTTCTGACATTGTGTCTGCATTCAGATTCCTATATGTAAGGCTCTCTGACTTTGGATCAGTTTTCATTCTATTTTTTTCCTGCTACGAATATTATCAAAAAGCAATGAGGAGGAGAAACAGGTAAAAAAAAAAGTTAACATTTTTAAGTAAATCTTTTGTTTTATTCATTCTAAACTAGACTTGTGCACCTGGAAAATATGAACACAGAGAGGCATCAAAACAAACTCTTTCTCCTCCCTTCCTCTACTCTTCCTTTGAGACCAAAGATCTGCTTAAACTGTTATTTCTTTTTTTCTTCCTGTTGACTAACGCTCCATTGAGTGGATATGCTACATTTCATTTATCCACCCATCAGGTGACTATTCTACATTTTGACAATTACGAGCAAAGGAGCTCTGAGTGTCCGTGAACAGCACTGTGCAACAACACATGTCTTCACGTCACTGGCATGAGTGCCTGGCAGTGAACATGTGGGGTAGTGTGGTGACTCTATGTTTCACATGTTGAGGAATACCAGACGGCTGTGTGTGTAAAAGGGATGCATAGTGTGCATCCCCACCCATCGACCTCTGCACACTCATTTATGCTGCTCATTATCTGTCTGTCTACTGGTAGCCATGCCGGTGACTATGAGGGGGTATCTCACTGTGGTTTTAATTTGCATTTCTCTGAGGACAAACAATGTTGGAGATCTTTTCATGTGCTTATTGGCCATTTGTGTAGCTCCCTTGGAGAAGTATCTATTTTAGCCATTTGTAATTGTATTGTCTTTGTATTATTGAGTTGTAAAGGTTCCTTTTTTATTTTGGAGAGTAGTCTCATTGAATATATGGTATAAATTTTTTTCTCCCAATCTTTGGGTTGAGGTAGACTATACTGACCCAGGCTAGTTAGAGTCGGTTGGTCATACAGGTCAGAAATTAAATTTTGTGATGGTGTAAAAATGCATAAAATTATAAATATCCATCATACCTTTAAGACAGAGAGAGGGTTAAAATAAGAAATTTAGAAGCACAACTATCATAATTATCATTCAGATCTATGTGTACAATTTGGGAGAAAAATTATTTTTTTGTTTAATGAATACCATTTATTAGTATTAATTCTCCAACAACTCCAAGACATATATTCAGTTTACTTTCCAGTGTACTTCAAACACCCAACCTTCCAGTTTTTTAGACATTTAAAAGCAAAAATGAAAATGAGCCTTTCTTCTCTGCAAAGGACCCCCCAAGGAACCTTATAGTTCATGGCCACAATAAAAGTTGCTCAGAACACTCCTATAGCAGCCTTCTCTTTGAAATGCACGTGCGCGCGTGCACACACACACACACACACAACGCATCCTGAAACATAGAGTCCTCCATCCCACCAGTAGACCATGTCCTGAGTTAGCTCTTGAAAGAGAGCCCTTCTCTGTCTTCTCTACTGAGAACTCACCTGGTCACATGGGAGGCTGCTGTTTCTAGTGCCAGCTTTGTCGCAGCCACAGGGCCTGCACACATTCGGGGCGAAGGGATCTGCCCCAACCGGTCGGAAGAAGTGATCCTTACACAGCTCACAGCTCCTTCCTGCGTCAGGGAAAGGTTATGCAGTATGACTTCCAATTCATTAAAATCAGCTGCATAATTCAAAATTAAGGACTGTATTCCTCGGAGGGAATTCTATCATTTTGGGGACGTCCATTTTAATGCACCTTTCATCTCTACCTGCCAACTTGGTGATCCGGAGCATATGAAACAGTGAACCTGTTACCGACTGTGCTTTACTTCATTACATTCCCGTCTGTTTCATAATTGCCACACTCCTAAAACCGGGGCTTTGTAAGGACCCGCACATTGTGAAAGAGTTTGTTTCTAAACTTAAAACTTTTCTTTGTTTTGAGGGCCAGGTGCTTGAGTCTAAATCAAATGTGAGACATTTCTATGTGTGTGTGTGGTCAATGGTAGGTGCCCAGTGAGAAGCAACTTTGTAGGTAACATTAGAAATATTTTCCCAGAACTTAATCTTGTAAAATAGGAGACTGCTCTTAATATAATTCCTTACTCTCCAGTTAACATAATGAAAAGCAAAGGCTCCTGTAAGTGATTATGGCCATTATTTTTCATTGCAAGTATCAATAGAAATGTATTATATTTTAGATATAGCAAATCAATTTCATATGAAATATTAGAGTACTCATATTAGAATAATCAGGCAATTCCTATAGCTTACGATTTAGTAGTCAGAAATATATTATTAAGGGAAAATTTCTCATTACTATGTGTGCATATATGTGTGTGTATATTTACACATATTATATATAAGCATGTAGTATGTGTGTATATACACATATATGTGTGTATGTGTATCATGACAGGCAGTTTCTAAAATAAATATAAGTAGTATACAGGACCGATTTCCCCTTTAAACATGCATTCTGCTCAAATATTGCTCAAATTGGCCAAATAGTAGAAGACTATGAAAATAATCCAGTGAAAATACACATCCTGATGGGTACGGGCTGTGAACTAATTAAAAATTGAATGGAGTTATAGTATCTCTAGAATATTTTCATTTACATATGCTGATGACTCTCACATTTATACGCCCAATCTAGAAATCTCTCTCTCTCTGACAGTCTGTGAATCATTCTCGGTTGAGTACCGTGTCCCAAACACCATGCTAAGTGCTGAGCAGTACAATAGTACAGGACAGGTTAGTCAGCATCTGTGCTCCTGCAGGTCAGAAATTAATTTGGGGGATGTTGTAATCAAGTAGCACAAGATTATAAAAAATCCATTGTACTGTTAAGATAGAGAGGAGATTAGAATGAGAAATTTAGAAGCACAACTATAATTACCATTTAGAGCTCTGTGTACGAGCCAGTGGGTAGGACGAATGTTAATTAGATAATCACAGAAATAAATACACACTAACCAACTATGATAAACATAAGGTGCCACCAAAGCATATGGATGACACTAGTCTTTTCCGAGGCGTCACCAAAGGCTTTCCTTAAGGAAAGAGTTTCAGAACTGTGCCCCACGGCCCCTGGCAGAAAGGTCTCCTGGAAACATGTAGAGAACATGCCCCAAACAGAACCTGCCATCTCCTCGCTCAGCTTGATCCACCTGTGTTATCCTGTCTCAATGGCTGACATCAGCATTGACCCTGGTGCTCAAAACAGAAAATCAGGCAAGAGTCTGAACACCTCTCCCTGCCCTCTACCTTGATGGGACAATGCTGTCACCTCCCATCCTAAACGTCTCTCCAATCACACCATCTCACATCTACTCCGGCATCACTCTTCACCTAGACAGTGGCAGTCTCCCACTAACTGGTCCTCCTTGACCCACTCCACTCCCCACTTTATGACCAGATGTCTTTTAAAAGCACAAAACGTAAACGATGTTCCTGTCCTGTGTAAATCCCTGAGGATAGAAGCCACGCTCTGTACCAAGGTTTTCAGAACCCTCTAAAATCCAGCCCCCGCCTCCTTCCTAGCATCCTTTGTTACAGCCAGCCGTGTGCACTTCCACACATCTTCAAGGGTGTCCATGTCTCTCTCTCCTCCAGACCGTCACGGCAGCCGTTTCTCTTACTACAAACGTTTGATCACCCCTAGATTTCCTTCCTCTCGTGCCTTCAGCTGGGTAACCACAACTGCACTCCCTACCTTGGCACTCATTGGACGGCTTTGTAATTGCACCTTGCATGGTGAGCTTTTCCCACTGTGTAATAATACACACACAGACAGGAATCTTCATTAGCATGTTAATCGTCATATTCCCAGCCCCTGGTCAGTTTCTCGTGTGATATTTTAGGTCATCAGTCATTGTCCAACAAATCCATTCAAGTTTCAGAGTAGAACACTTTCAAACCCGTAGGACTGAAGCCATCATACTGTGCAGAGCTGAGGTTGTCTAGTTCTGCTTTTAAAACACCAGCTCTTCAAAAACATTGAATGGTTTTAAGAGTAAGATTTTGATAACCAACTCTTTATTTAATTAGCATTTACAAAAGAGTATTTCCAGATTACCATAGTCCATGCCAAATCTCAATGAATGTAAACAACACCTCTGCATGAGAATTCACACAGTGGAAGACCAGGTTCACACAAAAAACTTATTTTAAGAAGATATATATATATCTTCTTAATATATATTTTATATAGATATAATTTTCAAACTAATAATTCCTGAGCTATCCAAAATATATTCATAGTTTAATCAAATGCTGTAAAAAAGAAACTTCTCCTAAAAGGATTATAGTCAAAGCCTAGATTGCTATTTCTGAAAACTACCTAATAATCTGTGATTATGAAGATTTGATAAACCAGCTTTGGTTTTCAAACATAACGGTATAAAATACTTCCTTAAACCAGACAGCAGTAACATAACTTAAAATAACACCCATTGTGTGCCAGAACATGTGGGCCTCCGTTTCGATTGTTGTCTGCTGGTTACCTGTGAACTCAGCCTGTGTTTCCACTGTGGTCTGATGGTTACCTGTCGTGTTGTGCTCACAGTCATCACAGACTCCTCCCCCGCCTCTGTGGTGCTCAGCCGGGAATGGGTCTGCTGAGCGGTCATAGTGGCAGCTTCTGGAGTGGCCGTGGCATTGGCAAGGTTTGCAGTTGAAAGTGTGAACTTGATCTCCAGGGCGGAAAGGCTTGTCGTTATAAAGAGGCAGGCAGCGATCACACTAGAACAATAAAGTAGTATCAGAACAGTAGATAAATATAAAGCTGTGAGCTGGAATTATTTTTTTAATTTACATATCAGGCACTGGAAAACTAAAAACAAAGAGCTAAAACCCAGCATCTGTTATGTTTTGAAAAGTGTTTTATGAATCAGAAATCAGCACGTTATAGGTATGGCAGTGGAAATGACCATGTAAACTAAGATCATGCAAATTGATGTTTATAACCAACGTGAAAAGTTATGATTGTTCCATGGCCTTTACATTTTTTGTCAAAACATTAAAAACTTGACTTCCAGTTTTTGATCCTATAGGTGCAGAGCTTAGAAGCTATCAGTCCACCCTAATAACAAGTAAAAAGCTAACCAGACTGAAATATGAACAGCTGTTCTTGGACTCCCTAAGGGGAGGACACAGAACGGAAAATGGAATCATATGAAATGCTCAACTAACACCACAAAAACCAAACAGCTGCTCCCAGGCCTGAAGAAGACAGATGGCAAATACAGAGTCTCGCCTGCAGGTCCAGTAGGTGTCATGGAGAAAACAGCGCGGGGACAGAAAAGCCGGAACTGACACTGACACAGTGCTGGAGGTCTGGGAGGAAGAAGCCAGAGCTGGAAATGCCATGTTGAAGCCTGAGAGGCCTTGGTGGGGATGGAGATTGCGTGAATTTCACCGTGTCCAGAGCAGAGAAGCGGCCGAGTAGAAAATAGGGTTGGAAAGCATGGGGGTGGAAAAAAGGTTTACCGTGAAAAAGGCAGGGGGTTAGGAGCACCAGGTCAAATGTCCACGGGTTCTTTGGACTCTACCTGAGCCCTTCCCATGTGCAGATTTCACCAACCACAGATGAAAAACAGGATTTTCTGTCTGTGACTGAGAAACTGCAGCTGGGAATGTGAAATAGTGTTTTCTACCTGTGATTAGCTGAAGGATAAAGTCTTAAATGAGCTTTGATTTTTTAGATGGCAGGCAGAAAGCAAACGATGTCATCTTCACAGAAATAGCAAATCCAGCTTCTGTTGGATTTGCTCCACTGGCCCAGGGAGGCAACCTTCCAAACCCCAACAGCCGGCAGTTGCTTTGGAGAAGACAAACTGCATCTGTGATCAGTGTGACAAGGACCCCGGTTTCCATGTCATCACTTCCACTGACTTTTATGCAAGAAAACATAACTGTAGCAATAAAAACACCATCACAGGGTGAGCAAAGTCATCGATAAGAATACTTCAAAATGAAGTAAAAAAAAAAAAAAGAAATAGGTTTCAGGCATTGTCTTGTAGCAAAAGTATGCATGTGGACCAAGTTGTGCAATGGGATAGAGTTTTTAAAAATTGGGAATTCACGTGGGGAAGAGCATTTAATGAGCACATTTCTCTCCTGCAAAGCCAGAAAGTCAGAAAGTGAGTTTTCATCTATTACTCCATTTGTCCAACTGGAAGCCATGTATCCCACACTTTGGGCCACCAGTGATAGTTATAACCCTAATGATATCCAACAGCTCCTAGAAAGTGTTAGATAAGGCCATCTCTGAACTTGTAGCCACAGATGATATAATTAACAGGAAATGAATCTGGATCATTGATTGCTCCTTGCTCCACTTGATAGGCTATATCTTCTAAATTATACCATGGACCCATACATTTATGATCACAGAATCTGCTAATGATGGTTATAAATAATATAATGCATAGAAACAGTCTTAAATATTGCTTGGTGTTGCTTGAACTGAAGATCAATGCCTCTGTTGGATTTTTTTCCCCTTTCTTTCTCTTCCTTCCACTGTTGCCCATCTGGTAACTCCCAGATTTTGAATGTATACTATGTTCCAGGCTCTAGATTGGGGATTATGTAAATGTTATCACATATCTTGACCCCTGTACCGGCTCACAGTGCCCATGATGTCATGAATGAGATATGAGACAAATTCACACAGACTACCGAGTCCTGTGGAGGAAAAAAGATGGCATGGCTACTCCCTCAAGAGGGGAGCGCCTCAGAATGGCCTGGCCACTCTATCAAGAGGAGAGTGAACTGACCCTTGCCTAGACAGGATTTTACCAGGTTTAATTTGTGCAGGACTGTAGGTACAGCTCATTAATCACTGTCAGGAATGGATCAAACAGTAGATAGCATATGAAGAACTATTAGGGCTTCTTCTGAATCAGGGTCTGTTAGCTAAACGGCTACAAAACTTTGGGAAACAAACTCATTTCCTGCTCAGACCCTTATTTAATTGAGAGCATTCTTAACAAAGCAGGTTTCACAGGATTTTATATATTCTTTCTTAAGCCTGATCACCCAGGAAGCCTGCCCTTTCCAGCACACCTGCCCTCTGTCATTGTTTCAGGCTTAAGTCAGGCAGAGGAGGCAGATAGCCAACGAATTTTCCGAGACTTCTCTTGGACTCAGGGAAGTCAGGCTTCCTCAAAACCGAGGGGTGAGGGTCCATCACCCCCTTTCTCCACAGCCCCCCATGTCCTTCCCTGGGGCCTCCACCTGATAATGCTTGTCTTAGGTCATTCCCCCCTTGGGGAATCTTACCCATCATTGGCTAACCGATCAAGCACTGGGGGCCAGTTATGAAAAAAGGAACAGAAGTGGCACCCCTGCCAGAGAGATAAGCTTTGTCTCCTTAGTGGCTCATGGTCCAAAGGTTGCTCACTCAGCCTTAGCCATGGGGGAGTTACAGCTCCTGAAGCCAGGTAGGGCGGTCCCCAACAGTATCTTCAGATCATTTTGAATCAATAATAATTCAGATATTGAGTTGTTTTCCTTTTAGAGAAAAAAAACAGTTTCACAGGGTAAAGAGGACTCAGGACTTACTGTTTATTGATGCCATTCATATTACTGCACCTATTTTCTCCGCAGTTCTAATCTAATAATAAAGTATCAGACAGTGTTTACTGAGGGTTTACTACGTGACACACACTTCATTAAGCACATGGTCTTTATAACAACCCTATGAGTCAGGTACGATTACCCCCATGTTATAGATGAGAAAAATAAGGCATAAGGAGGTAGAATTAATATTATGAGTACCCAGAGATAGTATATCAAGGAAGAGAATTTAGATATGGAATACTTTATGACCCAAAGCCTAGGAGGGGTGTCCAAACTTTTGGCATCTCTGGGCCACACCGGAAGAAGAAGAATTGTCTTGTGCCACACATTAAATACACAAACACTAACAAAAACAGAATAATCTCATAATATTCTGAGTAAATTTGCAATTTTTGTATTGGGCCAAATTCATAGCCATCCTGGGCCATAGGCTGGACACCCCTGGCCTAGAGGATTCAATAAACTAATCCATTTTAAATGCTTTCTACAATGCCCAGCATGTGCGAAGTAAACACCTCACGCTTCTTTCCACAGTTAGTGGCAGTACCAGTAATTGAAGGGGGTCTCAAGCCTCTGCCTAATCGCAAACTGGTGATTATATAAAATAAATTTGATTTGCAAATGACTGCTGGTAAGAGAAAACCTAGAGAGGTCAATTACCCACCTTAAAAATCCTTCTGGGCTGAGACCCATAGTTGAAAATCTTCTAATGATCGCTACATCTTCCCTCATTAAAACAAGTTTTGTTTCATATTTGGAGGTGCCCCATTGAAAATCATCTAATTATGGTCAATTCTGAAATCTTGATATAAACATCACCCTGTTTATTCATTGTTCCCTTTGTATCCCCCTCTCTAAATTCCCACAGGGATGATTTCTTTGAATATGAATGTTGCCATTATGTGTGAATTTTCCTTTAGCGGCTTAGCAAGTGTCCATTAAGCTCCTACTGTGTGGATGGTATAAAAAAAAGCCTAAAAGTCAATAATTTGCATTTTTCTGGAAGACACATGTAAGTAAATAAATTATTTCAGTTCAGAGTGACAGGAGCAAAGTCTAGGTCTTAATAGAGTGTTATGAGAAAAGAGAAGAGGGATGGCTATCCCAGTCCAAATAGTTGACAGGTGTGTGTCTCTAATAATCTATCCATTTCTTCTAAGTTTACCGTGTTGGTTGACATAGAATTGTGCCTAATAGTCTTCTAGAATCCTTTTTATTCCTGTGGTATCAGTTATAATGTCTCCTCTCTCAATTCTAATTGCATTTATTTGAATCTTTGCTATTTTTGTCTATCTTAAAGGTTTATCAATTTTAAGGAATTAATAACAATCCTCCCCAAACTCTTCTCAATTGAAGAGCAGTGAACATTTCCAAATGCATTCTATGAGGTCAGCATTAAAGGCCAGAAAAACGCACCAGAGGAAAGATTTTTTACAATAGTGAAGAAAAGCGTACCTCTTAAATGCCCCCAAGGAAATGGTTTGAAGATGCCACATTTTCAAAGAAACAGGATATAAGCATGTGGAAATAAAAATGTAGAAAGATATCTATAATATAGCTTGAATTTAAAAATCAAGTTAAAATGATATGTAGAGTATAATCGCATTTTCCAGATAAAGGTAGATTCACCTATGGATGTAAACATAGAGCTACAACTTTAAGAAGACAGAGACAGGTAGCATTAATTTACTGAGAACAACAATAATACAATATTCAAAGGGATAGGACCTAAAGAGTATTTACTGAGATTATCTATGGGTGGTAGAGTTTGAGATGACTTTTATTTTTTATGACTTTATTTTTTCCACAGTGTGCATTTATTACTATTGTATTAAAATGGAGGGCAAATAAAATGGACCTGCATGGGCAGATACAGGGAAGCTATGCATCATTTACATGTCACATTTCACTAAGAAAATTAAAATGTTTGTTTTAAATTACACATGGATCAGTAAGATGCTAGAGAGAAAATGATGCTCTTTTCTATCACAGTATAGGCTGAAGGTTTATGAATTGCAAAAAAAACCAGAGTATGATTTTTAAAAGATAAAAAAAATTAAAAAATGAGATTAATATATAGAAGGACTTTGAGAGATGACAGACTAAATTTCTGTTATAAAATCTGACTTGAAACATGCAGAACTAAATGACACGGTGAC